TACGAATTCCTTTTTTGTAACTACCCACATTTCATCGGTCGCGAAAAACTATCGAGCGCGCGGGTGGCCGATGGATGGCCAAGCCCTCCGTCAGTGGCCGTCAAACGCCCTAGGAAGAAACCCCAGGGCAGGCAAGGCACTGAGCAGGGCAGGCGGGACGCGGACAAACTGCGGGACCACTGTAGCGTCTACGCCAAGCGGCAGGCGATCCCACCACCATTTTGCGATGCGACGGCGCGCCAGATACACGTCACCATATTTACTAGCGGCGGGGAGGGGGTCTTTGGTTGGCTATAAAGGGGAAAACTCCACGAGGTAGATGGAAATTCGTATCGTCAGATTTATTGGTTTACTATTTCGTTTTCATGTAGATCTTTCAAAAGAAGTGGTTGGTCTGGGGCTTCCTGCATAACTAGATACAGACACGGTCTAGCAAGGGGCTGTGCAGATGAATCGATCATCGTTATACCTATCAAGCATCATCCCGAATATTCAACTGCCGCTGTTACTCATTACCTCATGCTTCTCTTCATTTGGCAGGTCAAAACAACGATCCTGTCTCTCCCCCCCCCCCCCCTCAGGTGGGTTCAATGGCCACTGTTTGACCTTTTTTTTTCTCCTTGTCTTCATGCACGCTAGAACCCCATTGTCTGATTTATGGTTTTTCTCCCGTCTTTCCTTCTTTTTTCATTGGTCACATATCCCCTTTTTCTTTTGTCACGATTGGCGGCTCAGGATCAGGCTCTCGCTCCGAATCGGTCTGTTTCGCGATGTGGGGGTGGTATCAAAACTATCAGGCATCTCCCCTGCACGTGAGAACCCAAACCCTTACGAGAAAGAAGCTTTTTTTTTCTCTTTGCTCGTGGGCTGACATTCGCGCGCTGAGGGAAAAAAAAAGCGAAGCAAACCCATTCTCGGCAGGTAGCTACCATCTCGAACAAGGTTCATCCTCAGGGGGGCGGTGGGCAGCAAATGGCGGTGGCTATACTGATCGAGACCGACTGACGGCGTATTTACATTAATGTAATTCGGACTCTACGAGACGACACGTAAGAGACTAGCATCAGCTGATGGCTTTGCTCCTTTGGCTGTGCTTGGCTCGAGTTCATGCGGCTTCTGTTGCGCCTCTCTAGACTCGATAGGCCGACGACCATGCCTTTATTCTTTGCCTTCCTTGGCTATGGCTATGGCTTGGTCTTGCCGGAGCACTACCGGTATCCTCTTCTTTGCGATCTCCAACAGTCAATCTCAAGTCATCCAGTGTGCAAGTGCTCGCGCTGATCCTTGTATCTCCGCCGGCAGATAGATTCGTCCATGATGCCCCCAAACGCCAACGATACCGACGCTCACGCCACACGCGAACAAACTCCACCGCCAATGCCCCCCAGAGCCGACGGGTAGTTGCCCTCTCGGCTATCGTCCGTTGACGAGCTCCCTCGGTATAGACTTTGTGGCTTCAACACAATGCCATGAGGCCATGCCACAAATGTCCATGCTGGGGAAACCCGGGCCTTCCTCAGATCGACACGGAAAGTGTGCGAGCGCAACCCCGGCATTTGGATCGGCGATGTTACCTGCTCTGCTGCTTGACGCTGGCATCTTGGCATCTACTTTAAGCTTTATTAACCTCGTTCTCGCGTCCTTGCACTCCTCCTTTTCCATGCTCTCTCATCTCGGTTTATGCGATGAATGCCACAAAGCTCCGGCGTTTCACACGGCCGCGCCGCCTTGGTTCCCAGCCATTATGGCCTGTTTTTGATGCGCCATCATCTTGAATGCTGCCCTGCCGCTGACATCCGACAACCTGGTAAGTGGTAACTGTGCACGGTGTGCCCTAGACAAAACCAGCCACCCCTCCCCCTCTCCACACTCGCATTGCGAATAGAAACTCTGTGTTTAGGGTTCGGCAGATCGAAGAATACCATGAAAACAGGTCATTGTAATCTTGACAGCATTTTCCCGGGCAGGGCACGGCCGTTGCAGAATCGCCCAGGTCATAAAGCTTAATTAAACACCGGGGGAGTTGTATCCGCTAGGACGACAAGACAATGACTGAGTCGGCGCCGAGTCGCCTGGCGGAACTCTGCGGTCGCATCATTGGCCTAGGTTGTTCCATACCTGAGACAAGGTATTCCGAAGGAAAGAAGCGCCATATTCGTTTTTTGGTGACATGCCGTGTGGAAGGCTGCCTAGACGAGAAGAACCGGGAGAAACAAACGGTAGGGCAAATTCCCGGACCATTCATTGGCCGGTTGTATCTTGGCGGAGGCCGCCATTACTGATCCCACCCTCGAGCATGTTGACATCGGCGATGTTCGGCGTTCAGTCATGGTCATGCAGACGGAAACCAAGGCGTCACAGTTCCGAGCCTTTAAATCGACAGAAAATCTCTGGTGCATGACCTCGCCGATTGACAAGCGTGATGACTCCTGTTTTGCATGGTTCTCCCGCCTATTATAGCCTGGAGCCTCGTGTCGGGGTGTCATCAGGTGGGCTCGTTGAGCATTGCCATGGCAGGCTTGGGCCGCAGACTGGTATAGTTGCTGTACAGCCCCCGAAAGCGAAAGATTGAGACAACTCAATAACTGTCCCAATGACTTATCATAGGAGGGCGCCTGTCGTATCTTACTGACGGGTGATGTGCCTGGCTAGAACGCTGCTTGCATTGCAGCCTGAATCGGGGGGTTGTTATCTGATTAGCAGACCAAACGGCGAGTCTATCTTGATAATTGGTAGCTCTTCTTTTTCCTACTTGTTGCTTGAGTTTAGCATTGAGCAACTGGCTGTTGAGACTATTGCGAGACCTCGCTCGAGTAACGATGGAAGGAAGGGTCTCTGGCCATCAGCAACTCTATCCAGTGCACTTGAGTAGTACCGGTATGCTTGCCTTCCTCATGACCTGATACTTGGGACAAATTTATGATACTTGACACTCCGACCTCTCAGACCACGACTGAGATGGACGTAGCCTTGGCGAGGTGCGTGTTCTGGCTATTTTGGGACGTGACTCTCTTGCTCATTTACGGATGAACCAGGGTAGTCTGTACATATGTTGTAGGCCACACCACCACTCAATCTGTACAGGGTAATGAATTGTGTGTCGCGGTATGTGTTGGAGGGCGTACATCTGAGGTCGTATCAGCGATTAACTATACGAATGCTGCATATGGAAGGGGTCCGGGCCTGGGCGTGAAATGTGCGGTGAGAACCTGGCACTATTGGGACCTTTTTGGTCGGTTGCTTGGTCCTTCGTTTGCATTATTAACGTTAACGTACCCTGCGTGATCGGCAATAATCACGCACCATGTCTTGGCTCATCCTCGTCTGCATCGCCGCTGGACCGACGAAAGGATTGATGCACAGTCAGGCCACACGCCACTTGCTCGGTTTCCCCTCGAGAAATTCCTTGGCAGGGTCCGGAGGCCGCGTGATGGCCCTAACGGTCATAGTTTCCGCAGGCCGACAGCCTACGGAGTCGGTAAATCATGTGTCGTGACAGGGTTTCCATGTCTTCCTTGTCGGCCTCTGATCTGGCGCAGCTTGTTTCGCGCAAGCACCGTTAAAGGCATTTTTTCTCGGGGCATCTTGAACCGGGCCATATGTACGGTGTATCATTTGCATAGCTCGGCCCCATTGTATAGTATTGAGACGTCGCATCGGCATGGCCGACTGACCTTCTGGAAGCTTTCGCGACGATGGGGACGTTTGTAATTTGGGGCAGGGGTATGGTGTTTGCCAGTCTGATATCAAGACAAGCGCCAATTGGAGGGGCGGATTAAAGGTTTGTGCCAACTTACTAGTACGCCTAGGTAGGGGCGGTACTCAGTCTGCGATGGATGAAGCCTGCAAGGCTTGTGATCAATTGCGTTAAAACGAACTGGTATTAGTAAGCGGTAGATAATTGGGCTGTTCATGCGTAGGAGGAGAGATGCCAAGGAGGGGGCGTGCGGTGCGGGCCTCCTGTTCGTTCCTCAGCCTCAAGCCACACCAGCCAGCCACAGCTTGGGGAAGGCCTCACGCAAAATTGTTGGAATGCAAGAGCGTTTTCACTTTTGGCAGTTTCCTCACAGCAGATGAGGATGATCTCGGACAGTGGAACCAATGCATACGACTCGTCTCTCTGATCCCAGCTCGATGCACAGAAACCTCGCCCTCTCGCTGGGCAGGGTAACCGAACAACATTCCGTCAGGAGCAAGAAAGCTGGGAGACCGTCTTTCCCTAGTGGGGGCAGCACCATCCCCTTCCGATCGCCTGATCGCGCCGCAATGCCAGATCTCGGTCCTGATTTGACAACACTTGCAGACAATATTGCAGGCCAGCGAGCCAATACATTATCGCCATGGCATGAAGATGAACAATGAAATCATGCTTGAGGGCGGGCATTGTCACAATACGATATTTTTAGAGACCGTCCCTGCTTGCTGTACGGATACTACATACTGGTATCCTACGGGCCCGACTGCATCCAGCACGAGGAAGACCTAGGCGCCAACAGCATCATCAGACATGTGTTTCTCGACTGGTTATTTGTCCATGTCTGTTGTGCATGCATATGGCTGACTGACCATGTGATGCGAGGAAAATTTCCACCCTCTGGATTTTACTGGCACCTCATCAGTACCGCGAAGGCCTCCCTTTGCTCGCCTTGCGGAGCAGTGCTTGCTTGGACCGATCTTGGCACAATGCATCATCTTTCCTGGTGGGTGGCCCGACCAAACGACGTGCCGGATGACGCATCATTGATTCATAATGATGGGAAACTTCAGGGCGGATATGCGCATCGGAGTCAGTCATGATGCGAGGCCTGGGGCTCGATGCAACGCTCCCTCCCGTTTGCTGAGGTAGCCAGCCACCACCAGGCCGCCTGTTTCCCATAACCCGTCGGCCAACTCGCTCGCAGGACCGAGACATGCATCCGCCTCTCGCCCTCACAAGCATCACCGGATCCCAGTCCTAGCCTGCCTGCTTGCTGGGTACATCGTCGAGCCATTCCGAAATGATGCCTTTCCGCCAGCCCTCCATCCGCTTCCGCGTCCGCATCCGCATGCTCATGCTCATGCTCATGCTCATCCCACCCCTCGCCGTCCTCTTCTGGGGGCCGACGCGAAACCGCGCCCAACCATCAAATGTCTCACCTAAAAACGGTTCGCCATCGATTTTTGATGGTTTTTCTCTTTTTACATGAGACTTTATGATCAACCCCGGCCACCACAGGTGCACTCGGTATGTCATGGTTACAGGGAAAACCCCGCCCTTACCGTCGCGGCCGTATCCGCCCATGACTGCCACTGTCCCACAGCACGTCCCCTGTCCATCGCCGACAAACTTTGGTACTGCCTGGTTCAGATCTTGCATGTCCCCGTTTCCGTTCCATTAAGCTTTCGCAACACATGAAGAAATAGGCTCCCTCTTTACTTGAGGCCACGTCACGAAAAGGTTGCGGCGCAACGTCGCCCACCGCTTTACGACATCTTCCTACCTTGGGGAGTGAAGAAAGTATCATAGGAAGGCACTCAGAACACGGGAAGCTCTCCATCACCCATTCTTTCATCCTGGGGCGCAGAGTACTCGACGGGGCTACTTACCTATCTCGGTCGGAAAGAATACCCAATGCTTCCGATGAAGTCACCAAAGGGCCAACGTTCACAGATTACACGCCCCTTTCCCTTGCTCAGGTCCTGCCCTGCGACCTCATCACCGACACTTCCAATGCGGCGGTCTGTGGAGAGGGCCCCGTTGGCAGCAAGATGTCGGTACCTGCCCCCATGCACACTGGTTTCGTTTCATCACCAGCCCGCCCCGGGTACTGAACCCAGCGGACTAAGGCTGTCACAACAGCCCGGGGCGGCTCTCCAGACTGTGGCGGCGACGTTGGGCTACCGCGGTCTTGGCACGCTGTCCTAGGCGACCGAGTCCCCGAGCCCCTCTGCCTCGTCTTCTGCTGGGTGTAATCGGCCTGTCAAACCATTCTTGGCAGTGGTGATGGCGTCCACTATCCCCATCCTGAGCCCACCGTCAGCACCAACACTGACGAGTACAAGTCAGGCATCGTAAATTATATTGGTACGGCACAGCCGGCTCAATTTGCGTGCCCCCTTTTCGCTGGCCGTCACTGTCGGTGCGCCGCGCAACTCCCAGTCACAGCGACACCCGGGCGCAGCATGGCCCCCTCCCAGACGTTCCGTTCAACCAACTCAGCGTAGTGCCCGCAGAGTGCGGTAGCGGAAGGGAGACACAGCCATCATTTCTGCAAATCGCCGTCGCCGTTGTACCGAGCCCGTAACATCTGGATTCGTCGACCTGCAGCAACAAGATCTGTGCAGCGTTCGGGACTTGTGTGTTGTGCGTCCTTGGGATCGTAGGGATCTTGGATCGGTGGTTGCGACTGGGGCCAGTTCGCACGCCGCCATATCGTCGATTATGCCAGCCCCAGCTGAGTACCGTCACCGCTCTCTGACCTTGGTATGGTGTGCAACCTTGGCCGTCCCCTCTTTGCGATGACAGCCAGCCATACCCACCTCTCGCGGAACAGACCTCGAGCCTTGGAGAGGAATTAAATTGTCGACAAAACTGCTAATGCGAGCGCACCGTTCATATCCGCTCGCCAAGAACCAGCAAGAACTAGCCAAGTGGGATGATTTTCCCAGCTATTAGCAATCCTTACCGGGTCGTAGCGGTCTTGCAATTTCTGATCACAGTCAGGCAGATACTGCCAATTCGATTTGATGGATTCTTCTAACCAAATACAGAGTTGCAGAAACCTCTTCACAGCCCCCGAGCCGAGCTGCAGGCAGACTCATTCGACCCTTGGTGCCACAGTAATGCCTGCATAAGGGTTGTATTAGCCTTTGTCATCTCCAAGACGGTGACCCGAATGGAAAGCATTCGCGAGCAACGGGGGTGTACTTTGCTTTGTGGACCACATGAGCGGCAGCTGAAGATGATGGTGCTGGTGCTGGATGACTGCCCCATGGTGCATGTTGGCTCAGTCGCAATTCAAGCTGCAAGTCCGCGGCGAGAGCTTTCCACCAATCCTTTGAGGTTCCAGGCTGTGCGCGGACGGCCGCCAAGTGAGGGCAACAGCTGCTGTGAGTCCGCGACGAAACAACACGCACGACCGGACCCTTTCTTGGGGGCGCTAGATCGCTGCGACACGAGGTACGTCAGATCTGGCAGAGCTTGCCCACTTGGCAGGTTAATTATTACTTGTCATGGTTAGCCTCGGCCTTCTCCCGATGTTACATTGTTCCTCGTCCCGCCCGCCAAAACGGACTAGCAGCTCACGGCCACCAGATTGTCTTCAGCGTCGCATCTGTGCGATTCGCTACCAGGGCTGGAGAGGAAGCATTTGCAAGCGGAGTGGTCGGCGCCGATGCGCAGATCGATTACGCCCCGATGATAACATGGGGTTCCCTCGTCAGGAGAGATGGTCGCTTGTTATGGTCTATGGCCTTCACGGGAACGACAGGAGAGGGTCGCCACGGGGACGGGCAGGTTTACCATGTGAACTGGATTCTGTATCAAGCTCCTGAGTTTGAGCCATTCTGCGTTGCACTTTCTCTTCCTCATCCACGAACTTTCTCCGCCGTTAGGATCTCCGAGGGCTGAAGGGCGCGCACAGAGACGCGAGTCGGCAGTTGGCACAGAACTCAGTCCGTCTCCAGATAGCTGCCCATTTCGTCGCTAGCCCACCAGCGAAACAAACTGCGGCATTTCTCGCGCCCTCCATGCATGACAAGCAAAGGTTCAAGGTTCAATCTTGGCACCGGTCACGCCCATCACATTCGTACCAGACCAGATCGCCAGTCACAACTGACACCCACCCCACCACCAAAGGGACCACCAGGCAACGCCAAATGTCTATCCGCGCACGCGCTCTGCCAGCAACTTAACTACTGCAGTGTTTCGCTGGCAATCTCAAATCGCACCGCTAGGCTGTGCTAATAGTTAAGGCCTTTGGTTGCAAAGCTCGGCCAGCGCCATTTTAGGATGCCGACCCGTCGCCGCCATGCCTTTCTTTTGCAACATTTGATAGTCAGCGCACAGCACCATCAAAGCCACACGCCCCCCTTCTGACTCTATCGACAGCACAGGGCAGCGCACGGGTTGTGTACCCGGGCAAGTCAAAGCTGCATGGGGGTCAGGACGGCAGCTGGGCACATCTTCTACCCGATGAGGCTGTTGCGCCTCGAAGGATTTGGGTTCCTGGTCGATTTAGCCTGTAGACAGAGCTTACCATCTAATCAGCCAAGGCGTCCGGTGGGTTTTTTTTTCTCGTCTACGGTGGCCTGGCTCGCTCGTTTATTCTTGCACAATGTCCGTCATCCTGTCTGATGTAGATTCCTCCAGAGAAACTAATGCTAGAGAGGGCGTGCACCGTCTAGCGTTTCTCCGGATGGGCCTTAAATGTAACCTTTGGAGCAAGAGAAGAGCAATACGACCTCATTACGCCAGCCAGGTCTTGCCTGCCAGCGGGCATACTGACCCTGTAACTCTACCGCTACTGTACGGATTAAGCAACGCCCGACCATCGACGAGTAAGCACCAAAGGTGTCACGAGGGTGTAGGGCTATTCTGAACCTTTCTGAGATTGATTTGATTGTTGTCTCAATGCTGAGTAGATTCCTATTCTGGAAATTGATTGCGCAACGCTGGCCTCGATCAGTGTGTGTAAACAGATGGCCCCCGTGACATGCTGCAATGTGAACTACAGGGTAGACTCCAAACTGCAGAGAGCCTTTGAACATGCCGAACTGCATCAGTGCCAGTTCAACACTGGATGTATTTAGTGGCTTTAACTTAGTTCTCTTTTTTTTGGTCTAGGAGAGGTCGCAAACGAGCATCAGTCACTTGCACAGGCATGTATTTTGCGAATTGGAAGAGCCGAGAGAAAACGGTCAGTTGAAACGGCCGAGGGCAAGTCTGGATGCAAGCCCAAAGGCTAATACGGGAATGAACACGAGAACGCGCGTTCCATTCTGCGATATCCCCCCGGCCCTCTTCTATGCAGCGCTCGGATGAAAGTTAACGAAGAAGCTGGGCCAGATTGTTAGCCGAGACTGGCCGAATGCAAGGGGCGGGCGAGAAAAATAGCTGCCCGTGCAATGCGCGCAACACGCGCGCTCCGTCTGGCTTTGCGGAGGGGGAGGAGAGGGTTAGTCGGGTCGTTGCCGCGGAGGGCGGAGTTGACGGGGGCCGTGCGAAGCGAGAAAGGGGGGGAAACGGACGGTGATTGGGCAATTTGGAGAGGGGAAAGGAGATGCTATCGAGATTATGTACATGCACAAATCTGAATTCGATTCTGGATGCATGTGACGAGGTGATGATGGTGATGGTAGGCAGCCCGGGTCATCAGGTAGCCTCCTACAAGGGGTGACCATTGGAGAAGAAACAGAGGAAAGCCCTCGGATCATGTGAATCCGAGCCGTGATGGTGCTCTGATACTGCTGCATCTTGCTGTTGTCTTTGGATCGAGCATCGGTTGTCTCGAGACGGAAGCGCATTCATGCAATGGGCACGCTGGGGATCGAATCACACCCCCCTCATCTGTCTACATATACCTTTCTTCCGAAAAACCAGAATATGTCTCGGGATGATGTATATTTAGCAACAACTTGTTGTCTCTTTTCTCTGAGACGGGCCGGGGGTTTCCCGTCCAGACGTGGACGGGAAGACGATGTCTGCAGCTTTCGCAACCTATGAATAGAACAAAGAAAGACAAATTGGACGCTACCAGTATTTAGTTGGGCATGTTCATCCGACAAGTGGTTAATACACACACCCAATCTGGTGTCAATAAATGCCCTTGGAGGCCATGTCTTGCAATGTGAGACTTTTCATTTCCACAATGTCAAGAAAAAACGTGCTCCTCCCGAGCCCCCCCTCATACACCGAAACGGCTGTTAGGTAAAGGATATTGGTGGTGGTGTGTGTGTGTGTGTATCTGGTCTTCTTGTTTACTCGCGGACTCTGCAAAGACAAGGGCAGGAAAGAGGTATGTGGCGGAGAAGAGACAGAGAGAGACGGAAAGAGGGAGGGAGAGAGACTCGGCTTGTTTGCTTGAATGCTCTCAGTTGGAAGTCGAGACGCCATCCGGGATTTGACCCAGTGCCCTACGCAGCTCTTCTACGCGGGACTGCAGCTCCGTGGCTTCGCTGTGCGGCATGTTAAACAACTCTGCACAAAGTCAAATATGCATCGGGGCTCACCACGGCCCGCGGCTGGTTCATCCAGCTGTTTGTGGATTGTGGCTCTTCACAATCATGCTCGTACACATGGGCCCCCTGTACCGATGCCACGTCCAGCAACAGCCTTGTCGGGCAATAAAGGGTTGTGGGCCAATACTGCGAACCGGAAATTTCTTGCGGAAAAGAAGCAGCAAGCCAAGTCTGGCACAACGGGATAAACTATGTGGTACGTAGGTATGTACCTGCGTGCTGCCGAGACAACTACGCAGGGGAGTGAGGGAAGGGTACGTGGGATTTGCTCGACTATGCTTATTCGCAGTACAGACAAATCACCGACAAGACCGAAAGAGCCGCGTACAGATTACTTTCTTAAACTGCACATGTCGGACGAAGTCTGGGATCCTACCCGTGGCAAATCCAGGACCGGGGGATCGGCCTTGTTCAGCTCGGGAGAGTGCAGACGGCCATAGAAACACCCCCCTTGAATGGGATGACGAGCTGCCGCCATGGCCAAAAAGGAAGTCATCAGATTACCGATATTGGAAGCAGCCGTGCCACTCACAGCACGACGCCCCGGCTGAAATCGTCCAAAGACTGCAGAGACGGCTGCACAGAAGGGCTGGCTTCCGCAAGGACGAGCGTGTGCATACGAACCTGGACGTTATTTCGATTTCTCCCGTCCCTCTTTTTATCTCAGCCATGGGGATTTTGATTTTCTATAATTCCTAAGACGAATCAGAGCCAGATCCTCCCCTCCCTCCTGGAAGATGAGAAACAAGAACGAGCCCTCTCTGCATGAAGCGCACGCGATCCGGTCTCCTTTTCCCTTTTCGACCAATCATGAGAACAACTTCTCTCGTTAGTGACAGTTATTCGTAATTTCCGTCGGCGCGCCTCACGATGCACACACACACACACACACACATATGCAAGCCTTGTTCATCTTGGCCTGCGGCTGTCAAGACAAGCCCAGCTGCAGAGGTCAACTGATTCAAATACTTTATGCACGCGATCGCTCATGTACGAGACATGTGATACACAAGAAGGAAAAGGAGGAGGGAGGGAATATGTTTGACAGGTAATTCAGGGCTCGGGGAGGGGGGAACTTGTCGCTCGATTCCCAACGTTGGGTATGTTTCGGCCAACTTGTATCGGAGAGGGCGTTTGCTGAAATGTAACAACGCCCCCCTTCTTCTCGACGCAGCGAAACTCATAGAAAAGATCTAAACATACCCCCCTTGAATCTTTATCAAGAAGAGTTATTCGCAACGTACCTCGACCTGATCCCAGTACAGTAGACGGCCGCAGTGCCAAGCTCCGGGGGCGGCGCTGAACCAGACAGGGAACCCCGAGCTTTTCTTTCCTTTCTTTTTTTCCTTCTGGTTTCGGCCCCGGGCTCAGATGTGATACGGAAATGTGTTTCTTTGCGCCTTTTCCCTCTCCCCGCGGACCTTTTTTGGGGGGAGGCGTTCGGAGCGACGGGTGTGGCTGGCTGGCCGGGGGGTAGGGTGCAGAGAAGGCTCGGCTCTTGTCAGATATAGCACGGATAATGCCGTCTCACGTTTCTCTTTGTTTTATTTTTTTCTTCTCGGGTCCGGCGCTTCCCCCCCCTTTGTATGTAGTTGTAGCAATAATCTCCGCCCCCAACCCCCCTCCCCTTCCTATGCTCGCATACCCTGGGTGAAAGGCGGCGGGCGCCGCCAGATTTCGAAGCCAAATTTGTCTTGGATGAGTGGGATGTGGATGTGTTGGAGGATCTATTTGACGGGACCAAGTGGGCGCCTTTTTCGAGGTATTTTCTTGATATTCGTATGTATGTGGCAGTTTCTCCGCCGTCCCGGGGGTCCGGGCCGTGGCTGGCAAACGGGCAATATCGCATCCTTCAAATTTCCACATTCTCAGGATCGGGAACACGAGAGTACGAAGGGAAGCACCCTATCTACTGGTGGAAAAGAGAAGAGGAAAAAGGAAGGAGAGGCGTGTGCCCCTTGTCCGCGGGGAAATCTGCTTTTGACGATTGTGCGACACAGGGGGGTATCCGTACCTCGATTGCCGAAGTCTGTGCGAACAACCTCGTCATCAGCGACAGTCGGTACCATAGGGTAGGCTGGACTTTACAAACAGAGTTATGTATCAAAATGAGAGGCATCGACTGTAGTGTTTTACATCTGATCTGATGAGTTACTGGGTGTCAGTCCATGTACATTATCTCGCTGTTCGCACAATCTGCTTCGTTTCTACCTACCAATCTGCTTAAGTTTAAAGGACCAGACATTTAAAGAATGGCAAAGATGCTAGCCACATCACAACTTCATCCAGAACCTGGTGCCAAACAAGTACACGAGATAGGTTACGGCCACTGAGCTCATTGCGATCCTGTAAATGGATCAAACTTCAGCATCAAAAGAGAACCAGACATAATGTGGTATATTCCTAAGACTACTGCATTAACTAACCATGATTCTGAAAGCCTCAACCTTGCCTCATCCTAAATACCAAACGCCACTTCATAATTTCATTGATAAAGAGCACATTCGAAAGAAGCCAAGCCAAATCCTGGTTGTGGAAAGAAGCACGAGAGAGAGCTGGTTGTGAGGGAAACACGAAAGGGAACTGGCTGTGAAGAGAAACACGAAAAGAGGGTTGAAAAACGACATTGGCGATCGATTTGTCCAATAAGGCCAGTGGATTAAAAGTTGGGGGCCGTTGCTATCAGAGCAGTCATCACAGCCATGCCACCAATAGCCATCAGCCCGACATACTCCGCTGCTGTTCTGATGCGCTTGTACGGTGGTGTGGTATCGACATTTGATGCCATGTCTCGTGGTTGCGAGTCTTGAGACTGAACAGCGTTGGAAGTCCCAGACTCTGCAGCTTCAACCGGGCTCAAGTCCGAGATCTGCTCCGCCTTTCGCTTTCTTGAGGGGCTATTGCTAGGAGCCAGACCCTCCTGCTGATCGGATTGGGTGTGCGCTTTATCCTGCACATCAGCGTCGCCTGGCGGAGAGGTAGTTTGCACACAGGCGTCGCCTGGCGGAGAGGTAGTTTGCACACGGGCGTCGCCTGGCGGAGAGGTAGTTTGCACACAGGCGTTGTCTGGCGGAAGAGTAGTTTGCACACGATCTTTGTAGATCATTCCTTCTGCACCGCTAGTTAATAGTTCGCGCCAAGTCTTCTCATCAAAAGTACCGGGCACTATTTCTGACGTCGCGTCTAGATGCTGGTCCTCCGATAGCGGCCCATAGAATCCAGGTACATCGCCATCCAGAGAAAAAATGTCGTGGGCGGTGCGTGGGAAACCGGCGCTCCTTAAGGGAGGAACTGGGCGAGCATTCAGAGTCCTAAGCTCCATTTTGTCACGCGGCTCGATTCTTCCCAGCGTGTGATCCGCATCATGGACGGGTAGATCCGTGTCCTCCGAGATAGAACTACCGGAGAGAATGTTACCCTCAGAGACCAGATCGGGCTCCGACGTCAGATCTATAGCATCTGACGCGTCGAAGCCGCGGAACTCAAGCTCTAGGCCGTTCCCTGCAAGAATGGCGGCGCCTGACCGGAGAACCGAGTCGTTTTCATAGTTGTCGTTGTCAATGCTGTTGACTTCATCTGTATCTGTATCCTCTAGATCATCCATATCTTCAGAATCTGACTCGTCGGGCACCTGGAAGACCAGCGGCTGAGGCAAACTGTACCGAGTTAGTATTCTTCTCTTGGCTTTAAAGCTGTAGGCTTACCTAGGCTCAGCTGCGCCGTGCTGAGCAATTTGGCCGAATTGTAAAGAGACATTCGTTGCACACTGAGGAAAGACTTGGTCGCCACGATCGATGTAAATGCCAAACTTGAGGGAGTCGCCGTCTCGAACGGCCTGGAACTGATCCTTCTGTAGTTTGGTGTCGTTGTGGAAGGTTCCGTGCAGGGAACCAATGTCTCGGATGAAGACAGTCTAGGAAGAGTCAGCGTAGTTTTCGAAAAGGAGCTGAATGTGACTAGAGATGGATGTGAAGAAATGGATAGGGGATAAATAGGGGATGGAGCCGACGTGGAGATAAATGCGTACCTTGCTTTGAGAGTCGAACTTGAGCTCAGCGTGTTCCCGCGATATGACGGGGGAATTGATGTAACCATTATACATTCGCGATTCCAGCCCCGAGGTGCGCTTCGACGCCCGGCCGATGCGGGCCGTGTTTCTCTTATTCGACAGGAGCAGTCTGCGTCGAGGATACATCAAATTTGGTGGAGGATCTATGCATGATAGAGTGACGAGGACTGCGATTGCGTCAGCGGAACGGCCCACGCGGAACTTGGGTGATGAAAGAGTTACCTTCGCCTTCGGCCAGTGTCTCGGGCATGGTGATTGTTCTCGTGCGGCGGTTCGAGGGCACGGAACTTTGGAGAGCTTCTGTCTTGTGTAACAGAGAATGAGGACACCAAGATGATAGATGGTCAGTTGTTGGATGATGGAGTCGGTCGGAGCGGGACAGCGGGCATGGGCGAAAAAGGCGGTTGAGTAGGTGAAGTGCGGGTTTAAAAGGTTATGTGGACTGTCTCGCAGAATTTCGCTTAATGGATTTGAAGCGAGTAGAGCAAAAAAGGGGAAGGCAGGAGAGAGGAAGCAAACGTAATTCGGCGTGAATGTGAATGTGAGGTGGAAGCCCAGTGGGGCAAGTGAGGCGATATGGCGATGTTCTTTCTCCATGCATCAGCACTGCCAGAGTACCGCTACTCCCTCTAGCTCCACGCACTGCTCCACGCACAGTGTGTCACAAGGCCAAACTCTAGGCAGCCGCTGCAGCCCCGCGCCAGTAGCGGGGGTCCAACTCGCACTGTCCGGGATGTCAGTGAGGGGTTGTTGTACAGATAAGTGTCAAGTTTATCCGGGGGTCTATTACTTTCTCATGAAGGAAAAAAGAATAAAGCTAAAAAGGTCAGGGTGAGTCCCTTCATCCTCAACTCTCAACTACAGCCACAGCAACACATCAGACTGCAGCAGCGAACCAACTGCCTTATCATGACCCCTCCACCACTTACAGTGCAGCATTGCCTTCCCGTACAGTACCGCCCAATTATGGATACGACACTTATCGAGGACCTGGAGAGTCATCATCCGCATGATACTACAAGATACCATGAAACACGGTAAAAAGAAGGTGAGAAAGGAGGATAGAAGAACCGAGAACTATGGCAAAAATCCACGCTATTTATTGTCTACTTCCTAGTCGATGCTTTGCCCAGGATGCAGATTCTTTGCTCACGCCTGTAGGTGCTCTTCTGCGGCACCTACTAATTATACCACTGTGCTATATTTTTATGGGTACTTGTTGCCTTCCATTACATGCTCAGATACCCTCAATGCAATGTGCAACGTAGCTTTGAAAATGTCCTAGTAGAACAGGTTCTTGCCCTTTTTGCCTTTTTTTTTTTTTTTTTCAGATTTTGCCACAGGTTCGAGACTCATCTATTCCAGGCGATATCTTCATTTTGCATGAATAAGCGCAACGCACTGCGTAGCGCGGCACCGGACAAAGCAGCTAACACATCCAACATGGATCGCGCGTGCCGATTATCAGCTTCAGCCCTCCCTATCGCGGCGATGAATCGGCAAATTAAGCCCTACTACTAACCGAAGAAGATGGAGGTAAGACTACGGGCTCGGCGACTGCCGATCTCCAAACACTCGTCGTCTCGCTAGATGACCACCATTCGAGATCGCATTGAATGGCAGGTTTCGAGAACGTAGAATCGATACGGCTACTGAAGACGGCGTTGAAATGACTTCAGAAGACAGCTGGATGTCCGAATCCTTCTGCATACTTTTGCTCCCACAGAGCCAGGAATAATGGTGCAATCATGAAACATTAAGAGTGATTTTGCTTGTCTACGAAATATTGACAAGATGAAATATGCAACGACAACAATCTTGGCTTTTAAACTCGCATTTTGATGCACTTTAAAGACCCCAGCTACCAAGTTCCCCATGATTAACATGCCATTCATTCAGTGTTTCAGTGTTTTACTGCTTGCCCTGCGCCACATCCGGATACACGTCGAACCGCCTCTGCGTGCGCAGCGGGATGTTTCTGCGGGCCTCCTCAATCTCTTCGCTGACCAGCTCCGCGCTGATGATGGCCTCGTCCTCCTGCGCCTCCGCCAGGACCTTCGCCATCGGGCTGACCACCATCGAGTGGCCCCAGGCGTGGTACGACGCCGCCATGTCGCGCGCCGGGCTGCACACCGCCACGTACAGCTGGTTGTCCACCGCGCGCGCCCGCGCCAGCAGCTCCCAGTGCAGCGCGCCCGTCGTCAGGTTGAACGCGCCCGGGTAGACCAGCGCGAACGCGCCCCTGCGCGCCGCCACCGTCGCCAGCTCCGGGAAGCGCACGTCGTAGCAAATGGCCACCGCGATCGTCCCGATGCCGGGGAGGTCGACGAGCGTGAGCGCGTCGCCGGCGGAGAGCACCTCGGACTCTTTAAAGGCAATCTTGCCGGGGATGTCAATGTCGAAGAGGTGCACCTTGCGGTGCGCGGCGAGCAGCGCGCCGTCCGGGCCGAAGGTCAGGCTCGTGTTGTATAGCCGCCCCGTCGCGGCCTCGCGCTCCGGCACCGACCCGCCCACGAGGAACACACTGGCGTCGCGCGCCATGGCGGCGAGCGCGTGGTACGAGGGCGCCTCGTCGGCCGGTGGCGGCTGCGACGCTGGAGACCGTGGCAGCGGCTCGGCGTAGGTCGCGAAGAAGTTGGTGCCGTAGGGCGAGTTGAAGCACTCGGGGAGCACGACGATCTTGGCGCCGGTGGTGCTGGCGGCGCGCGAGACGAGAGACGCGGCGCGCGACAGGTTGGCGGCCTTGTCGGCGCCCGCGGCCATCTGCACGCAGGCGATGGTGACGCGCGGCGCGCGCAGGACGGGGCTGGGCGTGTACGAGGCGGCCATGGCGGGGGAGGCGGACGTCGAGAACGGCGGCGGCGGTGGGGGTCGATGAGCGGCGAGGGCGGGCAGGCGGTGCGTGGTCGTCCGGGCGGCTGAGCGGAGAATGGCGCGACTGGGCGATGAGGCAAAGAGAGCGCGCAGGACGGGTCTGCTGCTCATGCTCAGACGTCCCGGTGTTGAAGGAAAGGGTGCTGCGATGGCGTGATGGAGCGAGAGGGAGACATTGGATGTTGGAGGGCGCGGGGTTGATGGCTGATTCGAGAAGAGGGTGAGGGGAAATGGGGTCTGTGGGGCCTGGCTTTTCGCGGAAGGGTGCGTGCCGGGGCCGTTGTTCGGAGGGGAAGTGGGGGTCACCGGCGGCGATGTGTTGGCGAAGCCCTCGGCGATCGGCGGCGTTGAATGCGCTGAGCGGCTCATGAGGTTTGAACGGCCGGACCAGTGGATTGATTTGGTTTGCATTTTGGATACCTTGATGCCTCTGCACGTGCATTGTCCAGGGCATTGTGCTGGCGGGAGGGGAAATGTGACGACGCCAATACACAGCGGCGCACGTGCAATGAAAGAAAGAAAGCAAAAAACACAGAGGAGACTATCTGATAGAAAACGTAGTAGTTGCATCTTTCTTGCTAAAAAACCAAGGGTTTGACTCCTGGACTCTAGAGTTTATTCAGGGATAGAGGTCGAGGATAGTCTACACGCTGTGGCTGGGAACTTTTACACAAGGGCTATCCACTCATACTCTGGTAGGAAACAACTACCGTATAGCTCAAGAGGAGCTAGAATGGCGAAATGCAGCCGTTAATCCAGGTAGTTCTCATTGATAGGCTGAAGAAGCTGATCCGACGCGGAACGAGAGGCAGCCAACGCAAACATGTAACCGACTTGATCCAATGACTCTTCAATCAGTCATCATGGCCAAGTCTCGCATGAATCTACCGTCACGGCTTGGAGACTCAACGCAGCGTCGTCAAGCGATCCGCGGCGGGTTAAGTCGCGGGCCTTGTAGCCGTTCCGCCTTGGCGCTCCAAGCAATGCTCGCCAGCTGCCATTTCCCCCGTTTTCTGAACCGACGTTGGGACTGGCAGCTAGGAAAATCCTCCTCCGCAGCGATGAATCTTGTACGGCGAAACATCTTTGAGAACCTGGGCGCTTCAAGCTGCCCACCTCGTGCTTACACATGGCCGGCCCCGGTTTCATAGGGCTGGGCAAAGGCTTGGTCGAGGCTTGGTCGGGGCGCGGGCCAAGTAAGAACATGAATGTGTCTGTTAGGAAGTCGTCATGCCAGCCCGTGTTCGTCTTGATTTGTGGTGATGAAAGAATTTGCAACGGCTTTATAGCCCGACGCCCGAGAAGCTCGGTCGCTTTCTGCTTGTGGCGTCATGCGTGTGATATGACGTTAACCTTGATAAGCAACTACCTCACTCCGGAATTACTCAACTATGGTTCAGAGCCCATATATATGGACTCAAAATTACAAAGAGTTTTATAGAATACGTTAATGTTTATTAACGGTTCTGTCTCGTTCATGGTACAAACTATTTACCGACGTCATGTATTGATGGTGTTAGATTACCGGGCATATTCCTTTAGCGACGCAGGCTGCGCTTTCAGTCTACAGGTGCTCCTCTTTCATGTATCACATGGCGAATGAACTCATCGATGGTTATCTTGGGACGTAGGCTGACGATTGCTGTGCCCGCATATGTACAGTGCACAGGATCCGAGTACGGAGGTGCCGTCCCCCACCTTCTCCGCGGCCACGTACTTGCGCGTCTCGAGGCTGCACCATTGGCGTGGCCAGATTCCTGCGATTCCTGATTCCTGATCCCACAGTCTTGGCAGCAATCCCTTGCAAAAGCCTGGCAAAGATGTGTATTGGGGGCCGAGAAGAAGTGCGCTTGGACGCCCTCACACATGCCATAAATGCTCAATCTGAAACCGCCAGCAACCATTTGTCGCGCCTGATCTGACTCACCCCTTTGGGACATATAAACCTTAAATCATGAGAAATCTGCCCTTTCCCCCCTCCAAAAGTCCCGCTCCCTTCCTTGGCGACCGTGCGCGGCATCTTTGGACGGCGTGCACACATCAGCGGCTGTTGCCCAAAGAGTGGTAGCCAAGGTCGGCATCCCGCCGCAAGGCCGTCTGTTGACAGGTGTCAGATGATACCGTATCAGATAAGGCATAAGATGCCTGACAGCGTGCCTCGGTTTTTGTCTGATTTTTTTTCTCTTCCCTTGTTGCCATAGGTTGGCCGGAAACCTGGACTGCGGCGGAACCCTCCGTCGGAGAGAAGAGGCAGGAACAGTTTCGGAAGGTTTTGCCACGTCTCCGAAAAAAGTGTAAAATTTTGCCATCCGGAACATCCAATTTCACGAGTGTATGACAATGTTGGACAAGCAGCTTGGAGAAAGGTACTACGGCAGCGGGTTGATGCTTCTGTCCAATCGCCCCAGCCGGCAGACCATGGCCATCGGAAGAGGGTTTTTTTGTGATACTTTGACATGCTATGTGAGGTTTAACATTATAAGTAACATTTCACTCCCAGAGAGGCCAGTTTCATTTTACCTCTTTCCGTACATTTCCGCGCAGAGTTGGTTGGTAATGCATGGAGGCGTCCTTGGCCTGTTCGACTCTGCCTTCCTTCTTCGTCTGCATTTCCCTTCTCGCCCGCAATTTACCTTTTTCGACGACCCAGATCCTGCATCTAATCTACACCGTCGGCGTCATGTCGGTACTCCATGAAGAATATCATGTCGGCATGCTCCTTGGCTATAGCCCGGTCCCCTGTATCATGTGCAGCACACGAAGGTAAGGCCGCCCGCGGACTCCGTTGACCGAGGCGAACCGACGTTTGGGTGCTAAAACGGGCTTCCTCCTCCGCCGCCGCAGCGCTCTCGATTGCACATATTGCGGAGGCTCCATGGTGCGCATGGTGCCACCGGGAACCACGAGCGAACAGGCTGTACGCCTACCCCGATTACGATATACGGACCTGCCGGCCACCATGGTACCGGCTAAGGAAGCGGTGGGTAGTTCGTCGGGCGGGCGCCGGGGGTCCGGACAAAGAGGATCGGAAGGACAACCGAGATCGGGATCGAAATCATAAGCACCCTGTCGAAGCACCAAGTATCACGAATAACGAACGAGAGGATCGAGGAACGCCGACCGTTGCATATCCCCAACCAGACGAGTGCGACGCGAGAAATAGCTTGGCATGCCTGAGTAACATGACATAAATGATTCATTCAACATATTGATAATTTTCTTAATTTATAGCTAGCTAAATACCAATGCAAACACCACTGCTTTATCCCAGGACAATAGACAAATTCCCCCAATAGTTGGTTACGCGACAGTGATGTCAAGAACGAGTGGGGCAGAACATACCACTCCAGGCACCAGCTTTCGAACTCAAGGACAACTTGCCATCAACAGACACCACCTGTCTTTTTCCCATCGATCAAGACAGCTTTCCATCTCTAGCTACCATCTGCGTCTCGTGAAACCGGTCATGACGCGTGTTTCGGTATACTCTGCGGCCCTGGTCGCCTTCGTGGCTGGTACGTATGCCCTGCCCGGCGCAGCTGGATGGGTGACAGCTCCACCATAGCTCCTACTGCCCCGATGCGATGCGCGCGAGCAATTCCTCATACTCTGTATGCACTGCTCGCGCTCGCGCAGCCGAGGATCCCATCACCCATGGATGTAGCCAGAATGCTGACCCCGGAAACCCAGCCGCCGCCATGATCGTCGCCTCCATCGCCATGCCCAACTGGATCGACTACGCCGTCACCACCGCCAAGGGCGACACCGTCCGCAAGACCATCGGCCTGCACCGCAGCTGCTCCAACCTTGACGGCCCCCGCTGCGTGCCCTACCCGACCGCCGCGCTGTGCCAGTCCGCCGAGCGGCGCTACTTCTGCACCGTCTGGCGCACCACCGGCTGGCTCGCCTCCTTCTCCGTCGTCCTCGGCCTCGCCGGCCTCCTCTCCCTGGCCGTCACCCTCGCCGGCGGCAAGTACAGGCGCGAGAGCGGCTGGCCGCTCGTCTCGGGCTTGGTCGCCACGTTTGCCGCCGTGCAGCTGATTGTCGTCTCCGTCGTGGTGAGTTTGCAAAGAATCCAGATGAGGAGTGGGGGATGGGCTAACCGTGCGGGCGGCAGGCATACCTCTTTGATCACGATGAGCAGTTTGCCATCCCGGGGTGGCAGCTCGGCGCCTCGTGGTATCTGGCGCTGTCGAGTGCGTTGCTCTGCGTTACCACGGTGGCGGGCTTGGTGTTGAGCGCCTACGTGCTGCAGCCAGAGGATGGCTACGAGTTTTTGGAGGACCCTACGAACGCGTAATTGACACGGGTACTGAGGGACGAATATTGACGACTATTTATCACGAACTGTATATGACTGGGATTGGAGTTTGGTCATGCATTCATGATTCATCTCTGGAGATGAGATTGCCACGGCAGCTTAGGACTGCAAGTGCACCTGCAAATTTCTGGCGTTAGTGGCACAGCTATGATTTACTCTATAATATAATGCTATAATACTTGGTTGCGTTCTAATCCTTTGTCGTGTGTCTGTGTTCTACATAATTGCACGTAATTAGGCGGGGGTGCATTTCCCCGCGGCCGGCCACTTCCGACGACATCTTCCCCACAGTGCAACTCGACTGATAAAACTTGACCTATTAAACCACATTCATTATATATCCACGACCTGGCCAACCTCGATCCATTACTCACAAAAGATATCTACGGTGCACCCATCTCGCTTGCATCGTCACAAAAAGAAAACTTTGCCATGGCTGCCCCGGCCCCTCCTTCCGGCGGCCTCTCCGCCGCGCAGCTCGCCCAGTTCCACGCCGACGGCTACCTCATCATCCCGCGCGCCCTCTCCCCCTCCACCGTATCCGCCCTCCTCGCCGAGACGCACAAGCTCCTCGCCGAGTTCCCCATCGAGACGCACCCCCTCACGCGCTTCACCACCGGCGACTCATCCTCCTCCTCCTCCTCCGCCGCCGCGCACGTCGGCGACGACTACTTCCTCTCCTCCGGCGACAAGGTCCGCTTCTTCTTCGAGGAGGACGCCTTTGACGCCTCTGGCACCCTCATAAAACCCAAGGAGAAGGCGATCAACAAGATCGGGCACTACCTGCACGCGCTCAGCCCGCCCTTCGCCGCCCTGCTTGATGACGGTCACCCCGCGGCGGTGGCGCGCAGCCTCGGCTTCCAGGACCCGCGCTGCCTGCAGAGCATGGTCATCTGCAAGCAGCCCGAGATTGGCGGCGCGGTGCCGCCGCACCAGGACTCGACCTTTCTGTACACGCGCAGCCCCTCCGCGGTCGGCTTCTGGTACGCGCTCGAGGACGCGACGCTGGAGAACGGCTGCCTGAGCTTCCTGCCCGGCTCCCACCGGTGGGCCCCCGTCTCGCACCGCCTCGTACGGAGGCCAGGCGGCTCCGGCACGGACATGGTGGAAAATGACGGGCCCCGGTTTCCTGAGGAGGGACAGGGGTATGATGAGGGGAAGGCGCCGGAGGGGGGTCCGAGGGAGGACATGTATGTGCCGGGTGAGGTGCGCGCGGGCGACCTGGTGCTGATCCACGGCAACTTGCTGCACAAGAGCGAGCGCAACACGAGCAGCAAGGGCAGGATCATCTACACGTTTCACGTGATTGAGGCGCAGGGCACGGAGTACGACGAGAGAAACTGGCTGCAGCCGCCGAAGGAGGGCTTCACCAAGCTGTACAAGTAAGCATGCGTTTCTCTCGCTATCGTCTCTCACAAAGGAAGGAACGGGTTGGTGAATGCATGGATGAGAAGATGCCTTAAAATTTTGAGGGTGTATGGAGTTCTATCGGTATCAAGTATGGAGTGAACCACGTCTATCTTGTCCGTCTCTATGCCAAGTCTAACCATCGCTAAAAAAAAGTCACACCCTACATACACATATGTACATGATAAATGAAAACAAAATACAGTCAACTTTTCCTTGCCCGTAAATGATATCTTGATGCACGAGAAAACACAAAAACTTTTGTCTATACCCGCATATAAAACCTACTTGGATGTCTTTTCTGTCTTGGCAGCAGTAGCATCCGCCTCGTCGTCAGAGTCTTCATCATCAGAGTCATCATCCGATGACGACGAGCTGCTCGACGAGTCATCATCCATGTCCTCATCTGCTTCCGCCTCGTCCTCGGAGCTGTCATCACTGCTGCTGCTACTGCTGGTGTCGGAGCCGCTGCCTGCGTCTGACTCCTCGTCCGAGTCGCTGTCGTCGCTTTCATCGCTGCTGCTATCGCTACTGCTGCTGGTGTCGTCGCTATCATCCACGTTGGTGCGCAGCTTGCGGCGACGCTTGCCCGCGACTCCGTTCGGCTTGGCGTCGGCGTCGGCCGACTTGACGGGCGCCTTGACAGTCGTGGTGCTGGCGTCCGTCTCGTCGCCATCGGACAGTGTCGCAATAACCATCTCGGCACGCATGCGCTTGACGAGGCGGCGGATGATGACGTCGGCGTCCTGCGCCGTCGTCACGTAGTCCACTTCGGCAAACGTCCGCTTCTTGCTGGCGGCAGCCTTTTGCTGTGTCTCTAGGAAGCCGGCGAGGGCCGCTTCGTACATGCCCTGCTTGCCGTCGGGGTCGGCGGTGCCCTCAGGGAAGGCAGCCGCGCGGTCGCTGTCGTCCTTGAGGCGGATCGCCAGCGCCGTCTCTCGCAGTCTCATCCTGACAGCGCCTTTGATATCATCAATGTAGTCGTAGAAAGAGCCCACGTCGGCTGGCGGGATGCCGCTCTCGAAGATGGCCTTTATGAGAGTCGACTGGTGGTTCTTGTTGAACTTCCAGCTGTCGCGTGACGACACCCAGTGCCGCAGGTACTCGAGCGCGGGTCTGGTGTCTGCCGTCGGCTGTGGCTTCTTCTGTTTCTGCTTCTTGGGCGGCGTCGACGTTGTCAGGCCCTTGCCAGTCTTGCCGGCGGCTTTGGGGAGTGGTTTCGCGGGCGTCTTTCGCGCCGTGGTTGAACCTGGGGCGGCGGTCTTGTGGGTAGGCGTGTCGGCGAAGGCGACAGACTTCTTTCGTGTGAGCTGAGGCGTGGCATCTCCTGTTGATGGTCGAGAAAAATCTCTGCGAGGCTTTTTCGCAGAGAGGGGAGAGGAGGAATAATCTGACGCAGCACCGGTGGTTGTGTGCAGCTTTCTCTTGCCCTGCATGCTGCTGCCCTGCTGGGCACGGTCTGGCTGCCCAACGGCCGGGGTCCCGTTTGTGGCCTCGTTTGCATTGGAGTGCTTGAGCTTCAGGCCCAATTTCTTCCAGGCTGGTGTGGCGACGGTGGCGTCTGTTGAGCCGCTCATTTTGAGTGATTTTTTCGAGCGCTGATTCCGGTATTTCGATCGTTTTCCGTTGTCGTGCGAAGGGAACAATTTCGCGGTTTGGGTCGCAATGGGTTTTTTTCTGGAGGCGCCCGCCGCACTAATAGCGATGTGAGAGTGGGCAGACAACTCGGCGCCTTTAGGGATGTGATAGTAAATTTCGCGCAGGAGTCAAAAATTGTATGAAATAACGGCCCCAAGGAGACATGCAAAATTATTCGACAATGGCTTGTGATGGCTGTCCAGGAACCGCTTGCCAGGCACAACCGGCGTCAGGGACGTGTTTGGTAGCAAGCCGCTAGAAACTAAGTTGGTGCCTCAGGATCCAACTCCTTGGCTGTCAGGCACCCACTAGCCAGCGCCAGCAGAGCTCCATCATTGCGTTGCGGATTCTAGGCAAGCTTGTGCTAACGCGTCCATTGAGCTTCATCACTTGCGAATCGGCCACGGCAACACCACATCACCGACCTCCATCTGATCATCATCGTCGAGAAAGATCTTGCGCTGCTCCTCACAACCACAGTCAGTCGATATTGCCCAGCTAAGGGCATTAATTCCGCCACAATGTCTGGTATGTTGCAAGCAACCAGAGCTCAGAAGAGCTGCCTCAACTGTCGCCAGATACTGACCCTTACTTGCCTTGCAGCCAGCGCATACGACAGACACATTACCATTTTCGCCGACAATGGCCGTCTCTATCAAGTCGGTACGTTTGAATGAACTGCGCGATGCGATACGCCGCTCTCCCGAGCAAGCTACCCCAGTCGACCTTTCAAGCTAACCCCGACAACAGAGTACGCCTTCAAGGCCATCACAGCCGCAAACATCATGTCTGTAGGCATTCGCGGAAAGGACTGCGCCGTTGTCCTGTCGCAAAAGAAGGTTCCCGTATGTCTGAATACCGCTCCGCGGTCTTGAACGAAACTGATATGATGTACAGGATAAGCTTATCGACCCTGCTTCCGTCTCGCACATCTTCAAAATCTCCCCTGGTGTTGGTTGTGTCATCACCGGATCCATCGCCGACGCTAGAGCCTTTGCGCAAAGAGCACAGGGCGAGGCTGCCGAGTTCCGTTACAAGTACGGCTACGAGATGCCCGCTGACGCCCTTGCGAAGCGTCTCGCCAACATTAGCCAGGTCTATACGCAAAGAGTATGTGTTGCCGTGGAATCCCATGGCCATGAGATGATACTGACGATTCAAAAAGGCTTACATGAGACCCTATGGTGTCGCGACTACCATCATCTCCCTCGACTCCGAATATGGCCCTCAGCTGTTCAAATGCGACCCCGCAGGATACTATATCGGATACAAGGGCACCGCCGCCGGTCCCAAGCAGCAGGAGGCCCTGAACCACCTTGAAAAGAAGCTACGCAACAAGGACTGTGCTGAGGGCAACTGGGAAGAAGTTGTCGAGCTGGCCATTACGACTCTGGGAACGGTGCTGAGCATGGATTTCAAGAAGGGCGAGATTGAGATTGGCATCGTCGGCGGCCCCCGTGCTGATGGCAAGGAGGGAACGGATCCCAGCTTCCGCATGCTGACGGAGGATGAGATTGACGACCGCTTACAGGCTATTGCTGAGAAGGACTAAACTCGTCTCATGCCGATTTAGCCGACCCTGTTTACTAGCCTATAGAGCTTGTGTAATACAATACCAACGAAACCAACATACGACATGAATCTTGGCAGAGCCCATGCTATACCATTCTTACAGTCATGTGAACAAAGCCAGCACGCTCTCGGTCGAGTTCGATGGTGTGGCAGTGATTAGGCGGTAAGCGGATCTGTGTGGCCAGTTGACTCTAGTCCAGGACGGTGCCAGCACGTTGTATATATGAGACACACAGTAGGGCTGAGGATAATGCATGATGTACAAGAAGTGCATTATCCTTCGTATCTCCGATCATCTTGCTTCGATTGAAAGCACACCACGAGGGAATCAGCCGCATACCGGTGGCAATTTGGAGCGCCTTTGATGTGACATGCATTGCCATTCCTCCACAACGCAGCGGCCCGTATAGACTTCGCTGGAATCCGCCGGTCGAGCCGCGAACATGAAGAATTACTCTGCATTTCTACTGGTGGGCATATAGTCATTTCATGGCCACTTCCCAGCGGCAGCGGAACATGAAGCACCGTGGCTACAGCCCAGGTTTCTGGTAGCTGGAAAGCGATACACTGAGAATTCTGTGTACGGAGGCACGTTGACTTTATGCTCCCGTAAAGTTAAGAGTCTTGGTTCGCCGGCCTGGGTCCTGATCGCCAACGCATACAGGAGGCAAGGTAAGGTGTCTTTACGCAAAGAAGGAACCCGGATTTTAACATGACGTACATGCTAATTCCTGGAACGTTTGACAGATTCCAAGCCGTTTTACCCCGCTTGCATCCTTGAACCCGGCGCTTTTCGGCATTTGTCAAGATCCGGCCGATACGGCTTGACAACGGGCACCGTGGCAGCACGGAAGAGACGAGGTCATAGACTGACGTTGCCCTATCAGCTGCTCCGGAAATTAGGCCGAAATAGGCTTCGGCAACGACATTCGGCATCTCGCGCCTTGGTCGCTCAGCCAGGGGGAGGGGGGGGGCCGAGGGGCAAGCGAGCTGCCAGTGTGTCTCTCGATCTGCCATCCCGGTGCTGGGGAAACGTCCGAGCGCGCGTTTGCGCAACGCAACGCTCTTGAGTAATGTGTCTGCATCATTGGGGCCGGATTCCCGGATGCTGTTGCCAGAATCTCATTCGCTCACCGGCAGCGCGTTGACGACGACATTGCGTTCTTGGCTGCGTTGAGGGGCACAGCCGTCAGATAACTAGTTAGCGCACGGGTAGAAGATTAGAACTGACTTAGGCGAGCTGTAGAAAGGGACATTTGGCATTACCATCGTATGCTCGTATCTGCTACCGATATGTTAGTTGCACGTGAACGTAGATGAGGATCTGGAGCGTGCCTGCTAGTCATGGCTGGCCATGTAAGCCAAAGAAAAGGCAGCAAACTGTCATGAAATGGCTACTCGCTTGACTTGATTAAATTGCACACGGTTTCATCGTTGCTTTCTTTTTTCTTTCTTCTTTTTACTCTTTGTAAGCTGTCCAGAGCCGTAGACTGTGTGTTTATAAGCAACCATACGGTATGGGCGGGCGCGCGGATATACATGCCACGTGTTTGAGAGATATCAGTATGGACAATACTCTTTTCAGCACATGTGACTAAAAAACCCCAAAATCTCAAATTACAGTAATTTCCCTGCTTCCGGCTCAGGCAACGGAGCACTCTGGAAAAGTTGAGCACACAAAGCGCTCCCTCGCTGTGATTGGCTGCGCGGCGAGCACCCTGAGGCTGCCTGAACCCCCGCTTTATTCCCATCTTGGACGGTACCCCTAAACCCCTTTCAGCGTCATAAAAGCGGGGTGGCCCTTCAACAGTATGCCGGGAAATTGCGGGCCGCCTGATGACCTCTCGTCATCCTTTTTTCCGCGTCGTTGTCTCATCGAACGACGTTGCAATAAACCCGCGATGCTGCTTCTTGTCTCTGCTTAGCCTTGTAACTCTGTCGCAGTATTCTTTTTTTTTGTGTGCTTTGCCATTTCACCAATCACTGACCCAACTCCTCCTCAACCGAACCCGCCCCCTGCATTCACCGATTCCTGTCACCTCGGAGCCGCAGGGGACAAGTCGTCCAGGAGCCACACTTTATATCAAGGAAGGGGGCCCGATTCCGTGATTGCTCCAAGGTCCCTCGAATCGGAGAGCCAGGGGCCCCGAGCTCATCTCCGCGGGAAGCCTTCCCTCCCCCCCCACCGCCAATTGGAATCATCGAGACGTCTGCAGCTAGGCCGCCCGAGTGTCAACAAACGGCCATCATGGACGCACCTCACGACAGCAGCCCCCCTGTGCTCAACTACGTCCTCAGCTTCCTCCTCGTCGGCCTCGCCTGGGGCGGCACGACGCCGTTCATCCGCAGCGCCGCCAAGTCGCACCGGCCGTCGCCGCGCCCGACCCTCGACGGGGCCGGCTGGCTGCGCTCGCGGGTGTACGGTGCCGCGTTCGCCGTCATCGACCTGCTGCGGAATCCGCGCTACGCGGTGCCGCTTCTGCTGAACCTCACGGGCAGCGTGTGGTTCTTCCTACTCATCGGACAAGCCGGTACGTTGACTCTTTGCTTTTGCCCGAGACATGGCTTTTCGCGTCGTGCCGCTGCCACAGCAATCAACGGTTCTTCCGCTGTTTTGTCTAAGAAAAAGGGACTGACACAACAACTCAAACTTCACTTTAGAACTCAGTCTCACAGTGCCCATCGTAAACACAATGGCATTTCTCTTTACCGTTCTCGGTGAATGGCTGGTCGAGGGCAAGGTCATCAGTCGAGGTAAGGCTACGAGTTTGGGCTTCTTTGCCTCGTGTGCTAGAGGCAGATGTGCAGAGAGTCTTTTTTTTGTTGGCCTGCTGAGTCGTACTAACTAATGATGCAGATACGGGCGCCGGGATGCTTCTGTCGTTGATCGGCATTGGGCTGTGTGTATACAGCAAGACATAGTTGATCTTTGATCTACTCTTTTAACTGAGAACAGGGCTATGTAAAGCCCTAGCTTCGCACATTTTCCCACTATCAGTCTATGCTACAGGTATAAGCAAAAAAATCAAGAACAGCATAAACGCAACCTGGTATGAATAGCAACCCGTGACTCCTGGCTATGCATTTCGGACGGTCAATATCTCTCGCTCTCGATGAAACGCCTTTAGCTGGTATCTATACAATCCATTCCCTCGTGAAAGCAAGAAAGGCTCTCTGCTGTCAATTCTGTGCGGCCTGCCGTGAGACGAACAGCAGATGTGCCCAGATCCGGGTTTAGAGGTGCGGACCTGAGAGTAAGTGTGCCTCCTTCCTCAACCCCAAGGAATCGGTAGCCAAGATGAGAAACCAATGTTGGGAACACATCCCCGAGTGCAGCTTTTGGGGAAAAACAGAAAATAGAAAAAAAGAGAGAAGACAATTTGCTAGCGCCTCCCGCGGCCAGCGACAACAACCTGTGTCCTCTCCCATCTCCCGTCCTCGCCTTGCCGAAATTGGCCGCTCCTCCACTGCGAGAAGGCAAAAATAACACTCACTCCGTCTTAGCGCTGCCCTAGCGCCCGAGAGATGAGATTTCGAGCCGTTTCTCACCCGTGATTAGTCCCGGTTCTCTCTAGTGCACTATCCGTTCGAGGATGTGCAGCGCAAATCGCACGACAAGATTTGAGGTTGTGGTGCAGATGGCATCGGGAGCGCGCGCGCCTCGTGGATCCCAATTTGGAGGGAAGAGACTTTCGGGTGATGGAGGGTGGTTGGGTTAGGCTTAGGAGCGGGTACTCAACCAGTTCAGGATGTCGTAGAGCCCAGGGTCCTCGGCCGTCCAGCGGCCAAGGTTCTGGTCACCGCTTAGCATGTCGAGGTAAATGAATTCGTCGGTGATTTGCTGCAGCTCCTGTTGAAGCTGGACGTCGCAGGAGTGCAAGAGTAGCTGGTTGGATGGGTTGGGGCGGCCACCTGACGAGTCGAGGATATGCTTGCGGTCACTTATACAGCGCTGGGCCGCCATCTGGCGCAGGTAAATCTTCTGGGCCTCGTGCCGACGGGCGTAGGCATCCAGCAAAACGCTTCACAGGGCCTGGTTAGCGGAACGAAACGGGTAGGAGGTATGAGGAGAAGCGTACTGTTGAAGCTCGAGCTTCTGCTGCTCGTGCTCAGTCCTACCGACTGGGCGGGACACATCGGCAGAGCAATCAAGGATGAACTGGCCGTCGGTGGCGCATTGCCGCAGCAGGGTCCATGCCGGCGAGAAGTAGTCGGCCTGGGAGGGTGCAGTGGTGTTTGCGGAAGCAATGCAGCGCTGGAGATTACAAAAGTCGGACAAGACGTCGGCGACTCTGTGAGTGCGGAATTCGTTCACTGCGACGGGTCAACATGGGTTCAGTTCCGTCGGAAACGGTTGTAGGACGAAAAGGAGAGAATTTGATAACTTACAGTCTCCCATTTCGAGACAGGCGTCACTCGGATTGGAACAGATCAGGTCGGGCCAATTTATGCCAGCTAGGGCAGTAGAGACGAAGGCCTGGTGGCTATTCATGTGAAGTCTTTGAGGGTGTAGTGATGAAAGAAAAAAAAAACAAAGACGGGAGCTCTTATTATACTTTTGACAGGAAAGTCGAATTGGATGGCCAAGTCAATTGCAGAAAGGGATGTCGAGCATCACCTGCGGCAAGCAGCAAAGGAGGAAAAGGATTGGTGTACGTCGAGGAACTACACCATGACCGCCCCCAAGGATGAGACTACCCAGCTACCCAACAGACAAGTTGACTGAGACAGGGTCAGGTCGAGTGAGGAACCAGTAATGTTGTCGAGATGCAGTTGGTATGGAAGAAAGCAGTGTCTTGAACAGAATGGTAGGCAGAGCAGCAAGCTTCGAGGTGGGCGCATTGAAGCTTGATAAAAGAGTAACAAGATTCGGGGTTGGGATGCGGTGTGTGGGCATCAATGAAAAGAATAAAAGAAGGAAATAAGGAAATAATACAGTCCGTGATATGGCCAAGGTTGAGGGGGGTGTATGGAAGGTATGGCGGAGGGGGAGATGGATGTACAGTATGTAGATGGGATTCTTGGACTGGTGAATGGTACATAGGTAGGAAGCGAATGACGTGTGGTAGCTGATGAGATGGAGCAAAAGAAGAGACAAAAGAAGAAAGTTGGATTCCCACACCGAAAAGCTTGTCAAGTCCACAGTAGCACATGTATGGTGTATCACTGAGGATGATGTCTGTTAGGTAGGCAAGTATATGCAGGCATGGGTCTTGTGTTGCGGCTACACGCCCCTAGCTCTTTCCTCTAAAGTTAGAGAATACTAACGGCGGAGCTGCCCGGCTGGCGCTTTTTTTTTTTTCTTTTACGGTACATGTTACTGGTAATCATATCCATCATGTTTCTTAATCAGCAGCGGTTCTCGATCCACTGATCAAGACGGCATGTCGCATAGACGAAAAGTGGCTTGGCTGGTGATGTAGGCTTGTCCAGTGGCCATGCGCCGCTGACATCGGGTCCTCCGTCCACTAACTAAGGCATGTACACGTATCTAGTACACAACACACACAGCCTCCCCTCAACCCCCCCCTCCCCCCAAGTCGCTTTGTCGTACCTTGCAGAGATGCTCAATTCTCCCTACCGTTTCTGTCATGTTCTTCTTCTCTCGCTCGTGTATTCTTTATTTCCGAGATTTCGTCGGCGGAGATCTACGCCAGCGATGAGGCCGGCTCGCGCCGATACCGGTACGGCCGACAACTTGCTACAGTACACATGCTCACACACAAAAGTACTTTCCTCCTGTGGCGCCGGCCTGAATATCAAGAAAAATTCTTAGCAGAACCCCCCTCCAAGAGCCACCGCACATAATCGTCATCCAGCGTAAGAAAACGAAGCCGAGAACAGAGGAATGACGAAGTATTGACCCTCCCTCCCAAGCCCAGTTGGCAAACTGCCTGGTCCAGTTGCATCGCTCCAATGGCCTTTGTTACCAGAGAGGCGGATACTGCTGGGGGCTTGAATGATCCTGGACCAGCTGGACAGGGCCCTGGCCTATAGTCTGACCAGCCAGAGGGGACCTACCAATCGGAGGAAACAAAAGGCGCCCGAAGCTAGAATACACAGGAGAGTTTGGTGCTCCGTAGCTAATAATAAATCAATGATTTCCGATCCTGCAGTGTTCCCTCCCGCCGCCAAGTGGGCTGGCCATATTACAGCGAACTGGGCACTGAGTACAGCCTCAACTCCTCAGTATTACCTCGTACTTGAGGAGCAAGCTGCTTTCGGGCATCTTGTTCTCTCATGCCCGGGGTCTTGTTAATGCCCGGGACTTTTGCAGTTGCACCGTAAACCACATGGACCTTTTCTTGGCTGAATGATTGCCGCGCGCCCAACTCTTGTGTAATAATAGACGACCATCAGTGCAGCGCCCACTCTCACCGTGGCTTGCGTTGAATAGCCTACTAAACTGTATGTACTCTGTGGTCAACGAGGACGGCGTGCCCGAGGTCACGATCCGGCCCTACTTCAGCGTCACGTCTCTGTTGCACTCTTACCTTGAGCACGGCTATTGATCCGTCTAATTTTTCATATGCCGCCAAGTGTGTGTCTTCATCTACGTTGCAGAGAGCCTCTGCTGTTCTTTCCATTAGCATCATCCGCCAGTGCGAGCAGGATCAGCTATCAGCCCTTGACGGCTTTAACTGTCTGTGGTCACGTCCCTAAAAATGATCGGCGGGCATGGATCTTGCGAGGCTACAGGCTACAGCTACAGGCCATAACCCCCCAACCCCCCCCTTGTCGCTCGGCCGACACATACACGCATACACGGTGCTGCGAACTACTCCGTAACTGATGCTTCTTGCTGCAACAAGACATCATTGCTCCGGAGATGCGTCTTTGGGGTTGTGGCAAAGTCCCTTGACGCATTTTTATGAGCTTCCTCACAAGACACCCACCGCTCCCCATATACGCGCAAAGCCCCGTGATAGGTCCCCGTCCCACCCCTCCCCGAGGGACCTCCTCCCGTCCTCCCGGTAACCTTCCGGGGCCAGGTCTCATGGACCCCGAGCAGCGGAGACCAACCTGCAACCTGCACGTTTTCTTCTTCTTGTGCAAAAGTTTTCCACCTCTTAGACGCGAGGCTGACCCCGGTCAAGTTCTTTGCAATCCCCGGTTACTGGGCCTCCCCCATCCTTTTTCTTTGTTTCAATTTCGCCTTGCCCAGGGGATCTCCCGTCCAACAGCGTTGCTGGGTTGGACTTGTTCCAAGGCTTTCAGCTTGGACTATTTGCAAATCACCTCCTCGCAAATCTCGCAACTCGTCGTGAACACCCTTGAATTCGGCCGAGCAACGTCTCACCTGCCAGGGGGTTAGGTTAGACTTGAACTTTTTTGCTTGTCGAAATGAATGCATTCAACCTCGTGCCGCAGTACTCGCGAAAATCTCTGCAAAAAAAAAAATCTCCCTCGGGCATCTACGCGCCTAAGACATGGTGGCGTATGCATGGTGCTGCAGTAGATGACAGGCCTTCAACGCCCTATCATGCACAGCGCCGTCGCCGACTCCGTCCAGTCCTTTCCCTGTCCAACCGGAGGGCATGCATAGGTCATCTTGATGAGATGGGGCTGGGGAACGAGGTATGCGTAGTATGCATGGTCGTATGTAGTTCTAGCTAATATCTAGTTTTATCGACTGTATTCCTTTTGTTTGAAAAAAGGAAAATAAAACTAGACAAGTCCGCGGCTGTCAGCTAAACTCGGAGCGGCCCTTCCCGCATGAACCAGTCCGGGCAGCCTACGGCCGGGGCTAGTCGAAACGGCCCAGCCCCCGCCCCGGATTAGGACGCCCAAGAATAGAACGACAGACTCCGACTCTGGATATTCTTGCCTTCTAATGTGTACGTAGCAAGAAAGGTCACAGCAAGGAGTTTTCTCAGATAATAGAAACTCAATTCCCATCAGCCAATAGGTCAACTACTGTTGTTGTTTGCAGTGTGTAAGTTGCCAGTTATAAGCGGACATGTACTGTATGTATGTATGTGTGTATGTGTGTACATACTCAACCCGCCCCCCGTAATGGCTTTGTATCCTGGCTCAGCCTCGCCAATCAACAAGCTGTCAAAATAGTCTTCTTGACCAGCCGCACGCCACTATTGACGCCCTCGGCCAGCTCCTTCTCCTATTTCCTCCCCCTTAGCCCCCAAGCTCCTGCAACAGTACGAATCAACCTTGTTCCACGGGTCAGATCTTGCCCCCCCCCCTCGCCTCTCCTCTGAGCCCAGCATTATTTCTCTGCTTTTTCCTCTCCAATCTACCGAGCAGGCGGACCCGTTCCCACAAAGCCGCAGACGTGCTTCTACCGCGCAAACCCCCAATCAGCCAATAAAATGTATCCATCGAGCTTCGGACGACACGCACCCCTAGCTGTCAGACAGCTTGCCCCCCCCCCCCCCCG